CAGGACTCGGATGTAAAGGAGGACTCGATCCACGACGCTATAGAGCACAACCGCGGCATGGCGCATCGCAATTCAGCACGGCGCAGCACAGCACAGCCTTCGGCACGGTCCATCAAGATCGATACACTCAGCATTGCATGTGCCCGTCACCCAATCAGGTGTTTTTGAAAACGTTGCCATGCATTACAGTTCTACATTCCTTTCTGGGTTCGTGGGTCGATCATACTCTCCGGTGTCATGAATATGTTAGGTTTCTAACACCCCGCAATTGTCTGAATCATTTTTGAATCCCAGATCGTGCCAGAAAACAGTTCCTGGGATATCAACGCCGCGAATCAACGTGACGGGTTGCGTCCTGACACTCCTGAGTCGTGCCAGAACACCGTTCTTGGGATTCTCGCACCGCGAGCCCACGTGATTGTCGCGTCTTGATTGTCGCGTCCTGACAATCCAGAACACCATTCCCAAGCCTACGAGTCTTTGAAAATGCTGCGAACGTTAAGACGAACGTGCGCGGCGATGAGGCGAGAGCCACATTTTGAAAAGGAGCCAGACTCCATACTTTGCAAGCTTCTGGAGGCGAGTGTGCGCGGCGCCAGGGCGAGACTTCCATCCTGAAGACGGCCCGCCCTCCACCCTTGAAGCTGCTGCAGACTTCTGTTAAGACGAGCGTGCGCGAGGCGAGAGCTCCATTTTGAGAGTGGCCCGCCCTCCATCCTCTGGAGCAGAGACGGTGGGGAGGCCTCCGGCTGAACGCCCAGCCCGGCCTACGGTCACGTCTGGATCTGCGACAGGGAGGAGTGATATATAAGGACAAGGGATGGAGAAGGAAGAGGAGGAGGGGGAGGAGGAGGAGGGGGGGGAGGAGGAGGAGGAGGAGGAGGAGGAGGAGGAGGAGCAGGAGGAGGAGGAGGAGGAGCAGGAGGAGGAGGAGGAGTCTGGAAGGGGAGGAGGAGGAGGAGCAGGAGGAGGAGGAGGAGCAGCAGGAGGGAGGAGGAGGGAGGAGAAGGGCGGCTGCCGATGTTTCGGCAGTGGCCCCTAGGTGGACGCCTGACAGGTGCATGGATCGCGGTCGGAGGAGGAGGAGGAGGGCGGGAGGGGTGGAACGAGGAGGATGAGCACGGGGTTGGATGCCGGTCTGGGACTTTCTCCTCGTCCTCATCCTCATCAGCTCCCTTCTCCTCCTTCTCTCCCTCCTCCCCCTCTTCCCCGCCTCGCTTCTCATCAACCTCCCTCTTCTTCCTGATCCTTACCTCCCTGCGGCCGATCTGTGGTTGGCGGTGGTGGTGGTGGTGGGGCAGGAGTAGGAGAAGGAGCGAGGAGGGAGGAGTCGAGGGATGAGTCACGGATGAGGAAGGGAGGGAGGACAGGAGGAGGGGCAGGAGGAGGAAGCATCTAGGGCGCCAGATGTCACATCAGAACCGCCATCACCGTCAGTGCCTGAAGGAGGAGGCCCAGGCGAAAGAGGAGTAAGAGGAGGGAGAATGACCACCAGTATTTGCTTGGCCAGAGCATTGATCGATTGTTCCCAACTTTTGCGCTGCATCTGCTCTGGCATTCTGGCATTGTCATCACCGCACCCCAGCCTGGTGTTGAGGGCACGCCTTGGGGGGGGGGGTTCAGCTTAGGGGGGGTTGGGCGACGGATCGAACCCAGCGTGAGAGTTTGTCCCTCCAGGGCCCCACCTCCTGGCCCTGTCCCACATGTTGTCCCCCCGATGGCGAGGAAGGCGGCGGGGAGGACGGCCACCGCCGAGGCCCCGAAGCTTCGAGCTGGCCGATGATGTTAGTTCGGAGTGTGGGACGGCGTGGGCTACCCACGTTTGTAGGGCCCCTCCCCCCCACAGCTTTAATCAGGTTCAGACCGATATTGCCAAGGCCCCATCATCGGCTAGGGAGGCTGCCGATGGCAGCGGCGAGGATGACCACCGGCAACCCATGGCGGGCCGGGGCGGCCAAGGCTTGGGCGTCCCGAGATGTGTCTAGAGCACAGGGGGCCGGAGGATCCAGAGGAGGGCCAGTCCAGAGCGGCGACCTTCCCTGGCGTTGTACGTCCACTGTGGATCTGCCGGAGGCTTCTCGACGTCCTCGCTGGGCCCGCTGTGAAGACGGGGTTAGTATGGACCCCGAGAGGGGGTCTGGGGACCGACTTCGAGCAGATTTGCGACGGACGGAAGAGCCGCCGTCGTCTCAAGTAGCCTGCCCCCGAAGGGTCGCGCCGCGTGGCCGATGCATCGGCCCCGCGGCGCGATCTGGAGTCAGACTTTCTCCGCCACGGCGTTGCTGGTGTGCCAGTGATGCTTTGGCGGTGCGCGGTGCGGTGCAGCCCTCCGGCCTCATTCAGCCCTGACCCCACCGGAGGGGCCTCAACGAGGGGGTCGGGGGTGGTGGTTGTGGTTCCATGTAAAGTATACCAGGACGTCCTGCGTATCCGCATCCCGCAAGGCTGAATCAGCGAAGTGCGCGCCATCCAAGCGGTGTTGGCGATGTGCACCTCTGTTGGGGCGGGCATGTCCCTCTACAGGAGGAGTGTTCCAGAATAGTAGGACAAGAATCAGGGGACGATTTTGTTTAATTGTTGACGATCTTGAGATGCTTGACTATCCCAGATTTTTCTTCCAAAATCCGCCTCCAGGAGGACGTGCCCGACCTGACACGACTGTCATCGTGCTACCACGAGGAACGCAGATGTCCGGAGCAGCCGCGGAGAGCCTCGGCCACGAGGTCAGGCTCTCCGATCCAGATTCAAGGACCGGCCACAAAAACCAGAGCCTCAAGTCGGGGCCGTCCCTTTACAGGAGGAATTTTCAGAAATGGTCAAAAAAAATGTACGGGGACTATGTTTCGAGTTCTTTTTTGTTACAAAGAATTGGAGTATCTTTTGAATATTTTTAGTTTTTCGTCGAAGATCCCCCTGTAGCGGGACGCGCCCGACTTAACCAGAGCCCCTTCTGAAGCCAACGCGGTCCTTGCTCCAGCGCCTTCCCTGTACGGCGGGTTCGTGTCGTGTCGTCGCGGCGGCGACCCCGCGCGCGGGGGCTCGGGGTTGGAGGCCATCAGTGGCAGAAGCCAGCGCGCAGGTCGTCACGACACGCACCAACCGCGCCCAAGTGTTGGTGCTGATTCAGGAGGGAAAGAAACACACAGACACAATTCATCGACGATCCCCAGGAAAATATGGGAAAATATGGGAAGTGGGGGGGAATACAAAAACCCAGAAAATATGGGAACATATGGGGGATCTTTTTATTTGTGTGTATTTATTTGTGTGTCCTGGGGCCCCTTTGATGATGGGGCTCCTCTTCTCAGGGTCCACATCGAGCCGGTCGATCTGATGCGATGCTGAGTCTGATCGGCCCGACCCTGTTCGATTGTGACATTCCGACGATCCCACGCGACCCAATCTTCGCAGGGCGCTGTCGTGGCGCACCTTGGCGCAACCGATCCAGCCCAATCCGACGCACATCCCAATTCGATCCGAATTCCCGATTCGAATCTGACTGATCCTGCCCTGTGGCAGGAGTGGGAGGGCCCTCTCTGCACGGCGCACATGCTTGGGCTGACCCAGAGAGACCATTTTGAGTGAATCGTGTTCGCCTGATCCGTAAGCGTTGGCCCTCTGCGCGTGTGCCCAGCGAAGCCTTGCCCCGGGGGGGCACACGCGCACGCACACACGGCTGGGTCTGAAACTGTGCTGACCTCTCCGCCAGGGATTTGGCATCGTCGAGCGCTTGATGGCATAAGAACAGACAGGTCAGAGCGGGCAGGCCTCTCGGCAGGCGGCGGGGCCTCTCGGAAGCCTTCCGGCCTCTGAGTTTACCAGCCTGGAACATATCCCTATCCCTATTCTGGGCACCTCCTCACCTCGATGCCGATCTTGAGGATTCCCTCAGTTTCTGAGGGCCTATCCCTAAGATTGTCCTCGCTTTTTGCTCGCCCATCTTAGGGATAGGGATGCGTTTGAGGCTGGTTGTGAGTGAGTGGCCTTCTGTGGCAGCAGCGCAGGCTCCGGAAGCTCGTCAGAAGGCCAGAGGCCTCCCGTCGGGGGCCACGTGCGATCCCTGCCCCTACCCCCCACGATGTCTGAGGGGGAGGGTGGGGTTCCCTCCGCTCGGGAGCTCCCGAACGAGGTGAACCCCAGCCTCCCCCTCAGAAATCGTGGGGGGTATTACCAGCCTCAAACGCATCCCTATCCCTAAGATGGGCGAGCAAAAAGCGAGGACAATCTTAGGGATAGGCCCTCAGAAACTGAGGGAATCCTTCAGATCGGCATCGAGGTGAGGAGGTGCCCAGCATGGGGATCGGGATATGTTCCAGGCTGGTAAGGGTAGGGGCAGGGTTCGCACGTGGCCCCCTGTCCCGAGACACTCTGAGGAGGCTCGCCCACCCCGCCTCCCGCCCTGGGCGCTCCGCCAGGGGGGCAGGAGCAGGAAGGGCCCCCATCCCTGCATCCAGAGCCTTGGCAGCGTCCTTCTGGGCGGGCGAGGTGGATTTGGTGATCGATCGATCGCTCCATGGAATGTGCCAGAGGGCTCCCGGCCTCCCAGAGAGAGCCCGAGCAGGCGGGGTCGGGGGATCGCCCCGCATCGCCGTTGCATCGGCGATGCGGCTCGATGTGGAGCCCAATGTCCTCCACGCCGACGTCTCCGATGCACCGCCGGCGTTGCGGAGGTGTCGCCGATGCTCGGGACGACCGACATGGGGACGGAAAGAATGGGTACAAAGACCGACAGCAGTTTTTGTTCATTTTGAAGAGGATTCGCCGTCGGCGTCGCCGCGGATTGTGTCCACTTGAGACAGAAGGCCGCCTGCCAAACAGCGGCCGCTGCTGGTTCGCGACAGCATTTGCTGTTGGGCATTGTGCCCACTCTTTCCGTGCCCATTTCGGGCGTCCAAAGATGCATCGGCGATGCGGCGCGACGCCGACCACGCACGGGAGGCCTCCGGTGGCAGAGGGCCCTCCCCGCATGGAGGTCCACGGGGGGGCGTAGCGGCGCGCAGGCCAGCCGGGCCGCCGCGGCCCTGAGCGCCGCCGCGGCCGACGACGCGGAGGACGAGGAGTCTGCGGCGGGGCCACTGTTAAGTCGGGCATGTCTCTGTGCATGAGGCATTCTCACGTTGTTGTTTTGATTCGTGTGTGGCAAGTTTAATGTTTCTTCCGAAATCCGGCTATAGGAGGATATGCCCGACATGAGGCTACAGAGACACCACGGCGGTCAAGCGGTCAAGCCAGATTCGACATCGGGCACATCATCGTTGCGCCTCGCTTGTGCCCGAGGCGATGCAGTCACCCGCCCCCCACGGGCGCGTCGTCGTCATCGCCATCTGCATCGTCATCAGAATTCTGCTAGGAAATTATAGATATGTGATTCATACATAGAGTCCCCAAACAGTGCTTGCACTTAGGGGTCCTTACTGGTTGCTCTCAGGGAATTGGGCCTGCGCGTCGGTCTGGCTGCTATGTAGTCGCCGTCGCCACCCCGTCGCCGCCTCGTCGCCGCCCGTCGTCTGGGCCTGCGCGTCGGTCTGGCGGCGATCGATGTGGTGTAGTAGATGCTGTGCAATCGATATGGTGCAACATATGCGGTGCAACATGTGTGGTGCCATAAAGTTGGCGGAATCTATGTTGGGCAATCAGCGTCGTGTTCTCTATTGTGTGCAGTATAGGTGGTGCAAAATATGTGGTGCAATCCATGTGCTTCACCTATGCGGTGCAATGTGTGTGGCGCATTCCATGGTGCACCGTCTATGATGTGCAGCATATATACATATATCAGAGTGAGGGGGCCGAACGGTCATTCACTGTCCCTGGGTGCGTGGCTGAAGTGGGATTCCGCGGTGCGGATTCTTCTTCTTCTTCTTCTTATTCTTCTTCTTTTTCTTCTTCTTCTTCTTCTTATTATTATTATTCTTGTTGTTGTTGTTGTTGTTGAACTCTCATTCTTGAATAATTATTGTTGATCCCCCCCCACCGGTGCACATTGATTTTTTTCGATTGAAGTGCCACCCCTGGGGCTCGCACCTTGTTTTTCCTCAAGGAAAGTCTTCCTGATCAAACTGTGCCCCTGGTCCCCGGGCTACAACAACAACGGCTCCCGCCTGAGACTTCCTCGATTTTTACTCAGGACCCCCGCTCCCGCCTGAGACTTCCGCGCAATTTACTCAGGAAAGGCGCTCCCGTCTGAGACTTCTTCGCAATGTAATCAAGACCCCCGCTCCCGCCTGAGACTTCCGTGCAATTTACGTGGGAACGGCGCTCCCGCCTGAGACTTCTTCGAATTTTACTCAGGACCCCCGCTCCTGCCTGACATTTCCGCGCAATTGACTCAGGAACGGCGCTCCCGCCTGAGACTTCCTCGCAATTTAGTGAGGACCCCCGCTCCCGCCTGAGACTTCCGTGCAATTTGCTCAGGAACGGCGCTCCCGCTTGAGACTTCCTCGCAACTTAGTCAGGGCCCCCGCTTCCGCCTGAGATTTCCTCACAATGTACTCAGGACTGCGCTCTCGCGTGCGACGTCCTCACAAATTATTCTGGAATTGCGTTTCGGCGCTCAGGAACCACGCACGCGCCAAGGACGCCTTCACAACGTGGTATCTTCCCTCTTCCTTCGTCCTTCCCCCTCCCCTTCCTCCCACTCTCCCTCGTTCTTCCCCTCCTCCTCTTGCAGGGCCCGCGCCAATTCCAATGGCGGGCAGAGAGATGTACGCCCCCGAAGGATTGTCCGCCCGTTCCGGTTTGCCCGTGCGTCTAAGCCCGCCGGCCCCAGCAAAGAGAAATAATCCCCCCGAAAGGGGTGTGATCGAAGACGAAGAGGGCGGGCATCGAGGGTGTAGGGTATACGTGTTGAATGACCGCGGGCAATAAGAGCGTACAGCCTTAAAATGGTTGTTGTTTGTTGTTGTTGTTGTTGTTGTTGTTGTTGTTGTTGTTGTTGTTGTTGTTTGTTGTCGTCGTCCCACCCCGCGACCGCGACCCCCCGCGACCCACCCGCCCACCCGCGACCCCGACCCACGCGCGACCCACCCCGCGACCCACCCGCGACCCACCCCGCGACCCACCCCCCACCCGCGCGACCCACCCCGCGACCCACCCCGCGACCCACCCCGCGACCCACCCGCGACCCACCCCGCGACCCGCCCGCGGCCCACCCACCCCGCGACCCACCCGCGACCCACCCGCGACCCACCCGCGACCCACCCGCGACCCACCCACCCCGCGACCCACCCGCGACCCACCCCGACCCAAACCACGTTCAAGGTACAAACCACCATTTTCGGCGCCTGCGGCGGGCTTTTTTGCATTCCTTCCAGGTGGAGAGCCCGCGACCAACTCGCGACCAACCCGCGACCCAAACCACGTTCAGGGTACAAACCACATTTTTCGGCGCCTGCGGCAGGCATCTTTTGCATTCGTTTCAGGTGGAGAGCCCGCGGCCCACCTTCGACCATGTTCAGGGTACAAACCAATGTTTTCGGCGCCTGCGGCGGGCATCTTTTGCAGTCGTTCCCGGCGGAGAACCCGCGGCCCACCCGCGACCCAAACCACGTTCTGTGTACAAACCAAATGTTTGGGCGCCTGCGGCGGGCTGCTTTTGCATTCCTTCCAGGTGGAGGTGGAGAGCCCGCGACCCACCCGCGACCCAAACCACGTTCATTGAACAAACCAATGCCGCACAAACGCGGCGGCGGATTTTTTGCATGCCATCTGAGCCCGCAACGACCTCTTCAAGCCCCGCGCATCCACGCCAGCCCGTCCAGCAACTTTGCCCTGGCGAGTTGCCTTGATCAGAGAAGTCGGGGAGCATAAAGTGGACAAAAAGGATTGCGTTGCCGTTATCTTGGGGGAAGAGGGGGAGGCAGGATGAGTAAACAGGGGACGAGGAGGACGCGGAAGAAGAGAGGATGGTAGGATAATGCGGAGAAAGAGGAGGAGGAGGAGGACGAGCAGGAGGACGAGGAGGGGGAGGAGGGGGAGGAGGGGGAGGAGGAGGACGAGGAGGGGGAGGAGGGGAGGATGATGATGATGGACGACAATGGGAGGACGATGATGAGGCCGATGAGGGGGAGGACGACAATGGGAGGACGATGATGGAAGGACGAGGGGGGAGAGGGAGGACGAGGAAGAAGAGGAGGAGGAGGAGGAGGAGCACGATGACGATGAGGAGGAGGAGGAGGAGGAAGAGGAGGAGGAGGAGGAGGAGAGCGCCATCGACAGGGAAGGTGGGGGCCACGAGGTCCGCCAGCTCGACGACGCCCGCGTCGCCCGCGCCCGCCCCCTCACTCTTATCCGCAACTGCGGGGTGCTACGTATAGATATACAGACACAGATGTTTGCAAGTATAGGTGTGTGGCACGTTGGTTTTGTTCGTGCAGCCTAGATTGTGCTCTCGATGGTGTGCAGCACAGGTTGTGCGATCTATGTGGTGCAATGTAAGTGGCGCAATCGATGCTGGGTGCGATATGACGTGCCATCTGCGATATGACGTGCCATCTATGTTGCGCAGTCGATGATGTATCCTATAGGTGGTGCAATATAGGTAGTGCAACCTATGAGGTGCAATCTATGTGGCGCAATCTATGCGGTGCTTTTAACTTCTGTTCGCAATGAGTTGTCCACATCACAGCTCGCGCAAACATCCCACCCACCCACCCGCAACTTGGTTTGCAAAAGGCATGCGGCGACGATTGTGATGAGTGTTTGGTGTTGGCTGGTGCATCTCTGCGGCCGCGCTAGACTGCGCACGCTCGCGCGCGCAGCGGCCAGCTAGTTTGGCGCGACCGACGCGATCGCGGTGGCGCTGGCCGCTCGGCACATCCCAGCGGGCACTGCAGTGCGAGTCGGTGACTTGGGCGGGCGAGGTATCATGGCCACGTCGACAACGGTAGACACGAAGATGATAGTAGCGATGTTGATGACGATGTTGACAGCGACGACGGGGCAGCCAGTGACGGCGCCGATGCTGATTACGCCGGCGACGATGACGGCGTCGTCGCGTCGGTGATGAAGGTTTTGGAGTTCGAAATGCGCGCGCGGCAGACGCGCGAGAGTGGCCCGCATGGTAGTAGTTAACACGATTCGTGCCCCCCGTCCCCCGCAGATGCGCGCAGAGGACGTTCGAACGATATCGACATGCGCGCGCGAAGCTTTTTTTGGTAGCATTGTCTGAACAGGTTGAAAACCTATGCTTCTTTCAAGAATTCGCAAGAGCGCGCGCGCAAACTTTTTTTTTTCGAAATTTCGCGTTGCGAGACCCGGTGCTTGTGTATGCTTGCTTGAACACTCGATTTTAAAACCCTTCCGAAACCGAGAGTTTTGGAATCATTTCGGCATGCGCGCGCGACGACGCGCGCGTGCGCACCTCGTTCCATGTGTTGTGGCGGATTCTTGAAATCCTATGATTTGTGATAAGCGAGTGTACGTGCATAGTTTTTTCCCAGAGGATGGCGGGGGGGGGCGCTACCGGCCTAGCTGCGGTAACATAAAATCACAGCCTGGATGGACGATGAGGCAAAAGCACATGTAAATTGCAATACGAGGAAGGGGCTTTTTAGTCCGGGGGGTGGGGGGGGGGGGTGGTAGAACCTATCCCTTTGTTTTGGAAAAAAGGAATCTACGGGCGGAGATGCCAGCGACGGGGCGGAGACGGCGACGGCATTACCACCAGACCGACAGGGGGCGGCGTCGAGGTGGCGACGGGGCGGCGACAGCGAGTACATAGCCACCAAACCGGCCTTGAGGCCCACACGACTGGCGGCGACGAGGCGGCGACGGGGCGGCGACGGCGACGACATAGCCGCCAGACCGACCTTCAGGGCCAGCTTTTTAGAACGCAAGCGAGAACCCCTGAGTGCAATGTTTGGGCCACACACGCATATACATATAACGGCGCACCGGGTCCGGGGGCCCGGGGCCGGGACCCCGACCACAAATGTGCGCCCCGGGGGGCCCGGAGGCTCGTCGGACCGCCGGACGCCGTCCAAGATCGTTCGCAGGCGGCTTCGGAACGCGCTCCGATGGCTCCAGATGCCTTCCAAGACGCCTGTCATGACACCAAGAAGGTCCCAGAAGCCTCCAAGACGCTCCGAGAGGCAGCCCAAGAGAGGCCCAAGAAGCAAAAATCGTGCCATTCCTATGGGAAAACGTATATTTTTCGCATGTTCGCCTCTTGGGCTTTCACCGCGTCCAAGACGGCCCAAGAGGCGCCCAAGACGGTCTACGAGGCCTCCGGGAGCGCTCCAAGGCTGCGCACGAGTGGCCCAGGACGGCCCCAAGACGGCCGAAGAGAGCCCCAAGACGAGTTCGAGAGGGGTCCCAGACGGAGAAAGCCAACCTCGAATTCCGAGCTTCCGGCCCAAGAGGCTCCAGGAGGCGCCAAAATGCCGCCAAGAGGCGCCAAAAGGCTCCCAAAAGCACCCCAAGACGTTCCGAGAGGCACCCCAAGAGAGGTCCAAGAAACAAAAATCGTGCCATTCCTATGGGAAAACGTATATTTTTCGCATGTTCGCATCTTGGGCTTTCACCGCGTCCAAGACGGCCCAAGAGGCCTCCAAGACGGCCTAGGAGGCCTCCGGGAGCGCTCCAAGGCTGCGCACGAGTGGCTCAGGACGGCCCCAAGACGGCCCAAGAGAACCCCAAGACGACTTCGAGAGGGGTCCCAGAAGGAGAAAGCCACTCTCGAATTCCGAGCTTCCGGCCCAACATATCCCAGGAGGCGCCAAAACGCCGCCCAGAGGCGCCAAAAGGCTTCCAAAATCAGCCCAAGACGTTCCGAGAGGCACCCCAAGAGAGGTCCAAGAAACAAAAATCGTGTCATTTCCTATGGGAAAACGTATATTTTTCGCATGTTCGCCTCTTGGGCTTT